TAGAATTACCTATGTTATTTGTAATTTCTTGGTTCCAAATTCTGTCCTGAAATGAATTTATTCGTAATGCTTCTCCATGCTGAACTTTATCTTCTTCTTACACAAAAAAGTAATCAACTAGAGTTACCTATGTTATTTGTAATTTCTTGCTTCCAAATTCTGTCCTGAAATGAATTTATTGATGTACACAGTGCTTCCTCCAGGGAAATTTAAGGAGAGAGAAGCAGGCCTAGCTTTCCTGTTCATATTACATTGATGGATTGCTTTATCAATGCAATTCTAATGGTGTTCCGAAACCATTGATATTATTTTCCATATAATTATATTGCCATGTCTTCCTTCAATTTCATGCTATTACTTTCTCTATGAAGATAATATTAACTAGTGTGTGAGGGAATGTCAATAAACTGATTCGTTTCAGTCGAAAGCATGACAGTGAGCTTGGGTGTTTGCTGCACCCTTTAACTGAGCTTGGTTCAAAATAATTTGCTGCCTGAGGCAGAGGACATGATGTCTCCCCTTCCCCACCCCTACTGTCCACAACCTTCTATGAGCAGCAACCAAGCGGCCAGGCAGCTGAACAAGACTGTGGTGCTAGCAATAGAACAGTGCCTTTCACAGCCCTGGAAGGGAGCAGCTTGGCTTAGGGGTCACAGCGATAGTCGCACACCATAGACTTCTGCTTTGTCCTTCAGCATCTTGTTGGCATCTTCCAGTATCTGCCACCTGAGGCACCAACCTTGCTTCACTTCATGGTCAGGCCAACCCTATCTAACACATTGGCCAAAATCCTTTAGTGTGTAGTAAATTGTACTAGAGAAGGCCTTCTGAATTCTTAGGGATCAGGTGAGTCAACTCTTCCATTGGTTCAAATGGGCCTACTCTAAGCCCAACTTATTATGCTAAAGTTGTGGTTAGAGCAAGCCCATTTGAATCAACAGAACTTATGGAGGGGTTGATGCACTAAATCCCCCTTGAGTCAAGAGGCCAGCTCTAGTGTGATTTACTGCCCTTAGCAACAGGATTTTGGCCATGGGATTGCAAATGTGCAAACCTGATCTCAGCGCCAACAAAACCTATCCTGGGGATTGATGGGGTTTGGTACCTCGGGGAGTTCAAGCTAAAGTTCAGATTAAAACCCAAAATAGATTCACCATCGCTGCAAAACCAGAGTCATCAGCCCCTACTGCACCAAATGCAGGCCATCCTTGTGAACACTTTACATTCTTTCCTCATCACTACTTATACTTTAATCAGAGGAACGTTGGGGAAGTGATTCTCATACATGAATGTGAACCCTGTGACCTTTCACATATGGTTGATGCCCAGGTCTCATCAGCTTGAAAACATGACTACTCCTAAACACCCTTAGCCAGCATGGCCATGTTCTTTCTATCACAACTATGAAAAACCCTGCAAATGTTGATAATCCACATTTAAAAGGAACTGAAGGTAAATCCCAGCCTCTCTGCAGTCACCAAACTCAGTAAGGATTGTTATTTCCCTTGCACAAAGAGTACACTGCACCTTCCCACCATATGGTTTGTAAAGATGAGAAGCCTTTCATAAAAAAGAAATGGCAACCCTCATTCAATGTTGTTTTTATGTCCCATCAAGCATTTCAGATTTATGATTCAACTTTATGAATTTGTGACCTCCAGAGATTCCCACAAACAATTCTGGTTTTGCAAATTCAAAGCTGTGGCTTCCTCCATCTCATAGCTGGTCTTCCTCTTTTCCTGCTATTAACTTTTCCAGAGAGTCTTTTCTTCCCATGACGTCCCTAATGTATGGTAACCTCAGTTTTGTCAGTTTTGCATCACAAGAGAGATTGTTCAGGCTTGATAGGAATTCAGCACCAACCGGACTTAATGCCTGGGACTGCAAAATAATAATATATTTTTTGGAAGAACTAATCTAGGCCAAAATGAATTTAATCCATCAATTTTCCTTTTCTCACACATTCATTTTTCCATCCTGTATATGTAGATGTTTAGTCATTTTGGTAAACATTTATCAAAATCAAACTATAGCAATATTATCACACACACCTAATGCTTGCTCATGATGATCCAAACCATTGTTCCATATATATATAGTGTGAGAAAAGTATGCCTTGCCCCTTTCCCAGACAGTGAACACATGTGCAGGGATATGGGCGTATTGCCATCCCCTGAAAGCAACATTATGTTCTCCGCTGGGCAGCACATCTCAAAGTCATATAAACCTCAGTGTGGATGCACAGTGATTTCTAATTTTGTGATGGGAGAACCCTGCCATCTGCAAGTTTCACCTTTTTTTTTTCAACATTATGCACAACCAACCCTTTTTCCCAGGACACCTTTCTGTTCTTAGATCCACCAGGCATATAGCGTGCTTTTCTGTCACAGTGAATGTGCAGTGCTCTTATAACTGGAATCAGAGAAACACAATTATCCATCACTCCCTCTGGTACAGAACACGGATGATTAATGTCAATACAAATAAAGTCAAAAACAAGGCCACTGAGAAAGACAAGGAAAGCATCTGAACATCTAGGAGAACCGTGAGGTTTGCAAAAGTACATTTAAATTTAAAAAACAAAACTTGGGAGCATGCAGAGCATGGAAGTAAAAAAGTACTAGTAACTGGAGAAGACAATAATGCTGGGAAAAGTTAGAAGAAGCAGGAAAAGAGAAAGAGCAGCTATAAAATGGATTGACTCAGTAAAGGAAACCACAGCTCTGAGTTTGCAAGACCAGAGCAGGACTGTTGTTTGTGGCATATTCTAGAGCAGTGTTTCCCAACCACCAAGGGTGCTCATAACCACCAAGGGGGTTGCAAAGTATTTTCTGGGGGGTGTTCAGTCACCTTATATGCTGTCACCCTTGTTTTCACTGACTTTCAGAGCTGGATATTAAAGTTAGTATGTGTAATAAACAGGCCCCTTTTGGGGGAGAAAGATGCCTCTACTTTCTGAGAAGGGATAACGTTACCAGATAATAATGCCTTTTTATATGGTAGGGGTGGGTGGTTTGCAGGTTACCTGGCTATTATAAAAGGGGGTTGTAAATTGAAAAAAGTTGAGAACCACTGCCCTAGAGTTATTGGAGGATGTGTACGAAGGGAGCAGGGAAGTTATATACCAAATGTAATGCAAAAGTGAAAACAAAGTTATTTCACTGGTGTGGTTAAGTGTTTTATCAAGATGCTTTCCAAAGTTACTTTTTAATGAAATTTTTAGAGGACTTTTTTTTCACGTTTTATGCCTCTCTCTTACCAATCCTCAGACAGCCGTCCCTCAAAAGCAATGAGCAACACAAAGAGCATTTTAAAACAATGTCACAAGTAATAAGTAGTGGAAATCAATTGCTTTTGAAAAAGCAGCTTCTGAAGCTCTGGGGTATTATGTCCCCTTTCAAAGAGTCCAGTGAATACTGAGGGTACTCACTCGCCATGGAATGTTGAGTTCGAAAACAGAAAAATGGTGATCAGGAGGAAATGTTTTATTTTGTGGGCTTCATGGTTGAGAACCCCAAACAGGAGTTGATCATGCAACAGAGAGTGATATGCATTGGATTGTAAGATCTTCCTGTAAACGGCTCGACTAACCTCAATGTTTTGGGGAATGTTGCTGATTCCCATAGAGAAACACAATAAGCATTTTAATTTTGCTGCATAGCATTGCTGTGTAATATTCCCAAGTCTTCGAAACAATATTCTTCTTGATTTATTTTTTAAAAAAATTCTACTGGCTTGCTGCATTGCCTTATTGATTCACACTTTATTCCGCTTCCCTATGAGAACCCATCCATTTATACCAAAAAGTTTGTTCTCATCTTCACCCACACAAAAGAGTTAACAGATGATGAACAACTGAAAGTTCCAGGGTATCCCTTCCCCCATATACATCTCCTTTCTCTTAGGGTAATCTTGACCATTTGAACTGATGCTTTCCAACCGGGGTAGAAAGAGTGAAAGAAAGATTATGCAGGAGGTACACAGTTAGCTTTTCACTGTTTGATCTATGGTGACATCCCAACAGGGGCAACTGGAAGTACAACGTTGGGTGGCTATCATCAACAGGAACAGCGTGCTTTTAATCTTAGGGCTCTTGATAGTAGAGTTTGGAAAAAGAAGGCTACTGGAATCCATGGCCAAAATCCTGTTTGACTTTTCCATGAGAGCAAAAACCCTTTGCACAAGCAGTTGTCTTTTCTGGGCGGTTACACAAGGGAGTATTCACTACTGCTTTGTACATATATAAGACCTGTTGTTTTCAATGGGGAAATCTCTAGATTGTATGACTGCAAGCCAGAGATGATTAAAGCAATTCCTGAGCGCTCCAAGATTGCTCAGTAATCCAGTTACACTTTGCAGTTGCTAGAAGGTTTCTGCCTATTGAATACTACACAGTGATGCCAGTTTTGGATAACTACCATTTATGTGAGAAATTCACAAATTGCTCTTCATCTTTTCCTAAAGCTTTAAGCCAGGTTTGGACAAAGTATAGCCTATAGGCCAAATATAGCTTCTAAATCTGTCTTTATGCTCTCTAAAGCTAATCTCTCTCTCTCTCTCTCTCTCTGTCTCTCTCTCTCTCTCCCTCCATAGCAAATATACTGTATAATGTGTATGTACGTGTGTGCATGTGTGAATTTACCCTCTAAATAAGCCCCCTTCCCTTATACTGTGTGATACCAAGAAATAACCACTTTTTAAGGTTGGAGGTGGTCTTCCATTCACATCTATTTTTGTTTGATTTTTGTAATTTGTTTCAGTTTTCTATTTTGCTTCCCGATTTTTGGCAGTGCACTACCATTAAGGATCCTGCAGAAAATGGGCCCATCCTCTTTCAGCAGTTGTCTACTCCAAGATTTAAAGGCTTGATCTAGACTTTTAGTTTCAGTTAGCATGTTGTTAAACACAGAGGCTCCTTCAATATCCAAAGACATAATACCCTAGAGCTTGTTGGTCACAGCACACACTTTCACCCAGCCCTCCCTCTTGCATCCCCCCAGGCTATGTTTTGCAATTGGACCGTGGAAGGTAAACAAGGGCTTCATTTTGACATCTGTTTAGCCAGCCTTACATCTCTGATGGAAATGCGTGAAAAGAAAAACAAAAAAGGAGCATTGACAGGTCAGATGCATTTTCTGTAATGTGTTATTCGGCCCAACAAAGCAGCAGTTCACAGTAGGGTCCAGAATTCTTTATGGCAATGTTGTTGTAGGAAGAAAGTTTAACTTTTTCTCTCCACGTGATTTTCCTGAGTGAAGTCACACTACTTCAAAAGCTATTAAAGTTTCAATGGGGATGGGGGTATCAAAACAACTTCCTGTGTTGGGCTTGACTGGTGTTTTGATTGAGGAAAGGGGTCACATTGAAAGTACAAACCCCTCCTCCAACCTCACTGCCATGAGATAATTTGGGGTTTGGAGGGCGGGGCTTCTGTCTGATTCTAAGCTATTAAACAGATGTGAAATTCAGTCTATTATCACATTTGCCACGTTTAGCTTGATCCTTCAAATTTAAGTGGGAGGTGGTGGGCCAGATAAACAACTCTTGACCTGCTACCAGAGCAATCACTTATTCCCTACTCCTAAGGCCCACAATCTGATATTGATAACCCCTGGCATCAGCAGGAGAGGAATTAAAATGAGACTGCAATGGTGATGAGTGTCCAGAGATTTTTGAGTTCCTTCATATTGGCGCATCCAGATCCAAGCCCTCATCATTCTGCAGATGTCTTCTGAAAGAAAAGCAAGCATGCACACATGACCTAATAGGTTTAAGGCAGTATCAAGTTCCTGGGGGGAGCAGGAAGAGCATTTAAAAGAGTGTAAAAGATGTTGGTACATCTTATGGGTTCCCCACCATCTATTTTCTTGCCAGTGCATTTTTGCTTCCAGATCTCCAAGAACAACAGCAAAAGCCACCAAATGGTCAAATATTCAAATAGCCCACTGGAGAGTCTCAAAGGCTCACTTGTCGAATATGAGGAACTTTGAATTTAACCCAGTGGAAAGAATCACATGATTATTGTGGGTCCAGTACTGAAAACCATCATCTAGGGACATTAGCTGAGATCTGATAGGAGCTGGAGTCCATTTGGAGGGCCAATGGTTTCTCACTTCTGTTGGTTTCTTGCTGAAAGGGGCTAATGTAGCAGCTACAAGCCCTTGAACATTCTTCCACTAAATGTTCAGCTAAAACTTTCATCTGTGGCTACAACCCAAGGCAGAGGCTAAGATAGGTCCCTGAACTTTCCAGCCCACATCCTCATGCAGCTTTTCGCAAACTGACGCCTTCCAGATTTTGGGGGGCCAACAGCTCCCAGCATCCCTTGCAGTTTCTCATACTAGCACATGGTGGGTGTTGAAGTACAAACCATCAGGATGCTGTTGGGTGGAGGAAGACTGTCTTCATTCTCATTTATGCACACACACATGGGTACACAAGCAACATACACATTCAGGCACATACACCTGCATTTTCCTGCTCTACAAACATTTTAACTACTCTGTGGGTTGGAATTCGCTCTGTGTATTTGTAATTAACACTCCCTGAAATCAAATGGGACTTAAATTAGCTATGAATAACATAAGAACCAATTATTTTGAAGGATCAACTCTAGCTATGGCTAAGGCCTCGATCCAATTACTAATTCAAACTAGAGCTGATCCATGGAATTACCCCGTTTTCCCAAAAATAAGACCTAACCTGAAAATAAGCTCTGGTACAATTTTTCAGGATGCTCGTAATATAAGCCCTAGCCCCAAAATAAGCCCTAGTTAAGTGAAACCCCACCCTCCACCATTGTGCAGCAACTAGAAGATGACATGACTGTAAAATAAAACATCCCCTGAAAATAAGCCCTAATGTGTTTTTAGAGCAAAAATTAATATAATGTGTTATAATATGACTTATTTTCGGGGAAACACGGTAGTGGCTGAAATCCTGTTGCTTCCCATAGTAAATCACACCATAATAGGATTGTTGAATCAATGTGGATTTGGTGAGTCAAGCCCTCTGTAACCCCAACTGATTCTAATGGGCTGCTCTAACTGTGACTTAGCTTTAGCATAGTAAATCAGTTAGAGTAGGCCATTTGTATCAATGGAATTTACAGAGGAGGCAACTCACCAAATCCCCATTGAGTCAACAACCCTACTCTAGTACAATTTATTACACAAAGCAAAAAGATTTTGGCCTGCGGGATTTCTGCAAGAGTTGATTTACCATCCAGCAATTGATTCAGTGGTTGGCACCAGCTATTGGATCTAGTTCTAAGTATAGATCCAACTGCCCTGCATTCATCCGCCCAGTCTTCTGTTTTTGGAGAAGTTTTTTAGAGTATCTGGGTTGCAGATAATCTAGCATGTTGTCACTGTTACTGAAACAGAACCTAGATTTCAATGCTGAACTGCTTATTTATTTCAAGTATTTTAATCATGATCAATATCATTCTAGTGGGGTTCTGTATACAGTGGTGCCCCGCATGACGAGTCAATATCATTCTAGTGGGGCTCTGTATACAGTGATGCCCAGCATGACGACGATACTGCATTCCATTGAAATCGCTGTACAGCGATATGGTTGTCATGTGAAAATAAAAACCCCATTGGAGTGCATTGAAAACTGGTTAATGCGTTCCAGTGGGGAAAATACCTGCTCGTCCAGGAAAATCTTCCATAGGGCAGTCACTTTGCAATCCCTGTCTTGCGGAAATAGGTCCTTCCATAGGGCAGTCATTTTGCAATCCCTGTCTTGCGGAAATAGGTCTGGAAAACAGTGGGGAGCCATTTTGCCAACTGCCGATCAGCTGTTTTAAATCGTTGTCCAGTGAAAAAACGGTTCCCGAAGCAGGGATCAAATCAACGTAAAACGAAAAACCCATAGGAGCCATCATCGTCAAGCAATTTTGTCATTTTGGTTCTCGAAGCAGGGATCAAATCAACGTAAAGCGAAAAACCCATAGAAGCCATCATCGTCAAGCAATTTTGTCATTTAACGGCGTAAGCATCTAGCGGGGCACCATTGTATAATGAAAATAAAGCAACCGTTCTAGACTGTAGCTGCTGAAGTGGGAAATTTGGCTGCCTCACTTCTAATGTGACAAAGACTAAGTACCAATAGTCAAGACCAAGGTATACTCTTCTCTGTTTGCTACTCCCTTGATTTTCCCTGTTGCCCACCATGTCAAACTTTGGATGGCATGAGCTCCTCCTTATATAAAAGGAACGAGAAACTTGTGGGACTCCAGCAGCTGTCATTAGACCACAGCTCTTAACATCTAGGACAAGTGGCCATGACGGGTAGGACTGATGGAAGGCAAAAGTCTAACACAGTAGCCCCCAACCTTGGGCTTCCAGATGTTCTTGGACTTCAGCTCCCAGAAATCCTGGCCAGCAGAGGTGGTGATGTAGGTTTCTGGGAGTTGTAGTCCAAGGACATCTGGAGGCCCAAGGTTGAGTACCACTGGTCTAACATCCGGAGAGCTGCATGTTCCCCAACCATGGTTCAAGCCACACTGCGGGCTCTGCAGCAAAAGTGGGAAACGTAGCATCCTCCAGGTATTTTGTACTACAGCTTCACATATCCAGGCAGCATGTTTAATGGTCATGAATTATTAGAGTTGCAGCCCCAAACATCTGGAAGGCGCCGTGCTTTCACATTCCTCTCTTATGGAAATAAGTAAGTGCATACGGTAAACGATAGGAGTATACTGGGTTTCTCAAGAAGAAAAGAAAAATGTCCTCTTCCTGGGATCCCAGTTAAGAATTACCCATACAGGTCATATTCCATTCCTATTGCAGTAACAGGGATCCTGTACCCTTCTTCGTGTTGCCAGATGGTCTCTGGCCACTGTCCATATTGGAGGGGTTGACAGAGACAGGATGGAAAAACCTTTGGAGGGCCATATGTTCCCCACCCCTCTCATAATGTAAAAGCATAAATGCCAGTCCTTTCCTGCTCATCATTCTTGACCAGATCCTGACATTTCATGTAACAAACTGCACGGTGGGTCCCTGGGAAGTGATGCTCACTGTGTTACGTGTGCCACGGATCAAACAGGCATGATCACCACAACACCACATTCCTCAAGGCGTCGCACATGCCTATGAGAATCCAACCCCCAGGAACCCAGCCCGCAAGGCTGAGCACACGTGTCCCCATCACCCCCACGACACACACTTTGAAAGAACCACCCTAGGGAGGGTTCGAAACATCTTTATGGATTTTATTAAAATAGGAAACTCAGACCAGACCCCAAAATGCCAAGGGAATCAGCAGGCCTTTTTTTTTTCCTGGCCGGAAGTGCAACCCCCACCAAACCCCGCATTCCCACCCCACCCCAGATTATTACAAATTAAAAAATACCTCCACACCCTTGTGTCTTTTGGGGGGCACACCGGCCATGCCTGCCATCCCATAGTAATAATACTAGTCATTAAAAAATCCCCCTGAACCCTGTGCGTTTGGCATCCCCACGTGCTCCAAACGGGGAGGGAGGGGAACCCTGGCACCACCACGACCTTCCGTCTCTTTATTTAATTAATTTATTTTTTTTTATATCCCATTTGGATGAAAATAGAATTTTGACGGAAAGCGGCTCAAAATAAGATTTTTTCCCCCTCCTCTCCCATTTCACTTGGGTTTCTCTCTCTCTCTTTTCCTTTCTAAAGTTTATTCCCATGATGTCAAAAGGAAAAAAAACAAATCGGTGTGATTTCTTCCTTCTTTTGCGGCTTTGTTTTGCTTCTTTTCTTTTCTTTTTAAAGTAATACAGCAGGTAGTTGGATACAGAAACAGCTCCATCTGTATAAAAAAAATGTCTCCAAGGTAAAGGGAGAACCGTAGAAAAATAAGAAAAGAAAAGAGGGAGAAAAGGCAGAAAGAAAGAAAAAGGAAACAAAAAATGGGGCAGGCAGAGGGCCAGAGTCATACCTTGTTCTGCAAAAGGAAAAGAAGAGAACGTAAAAGGCTAAATTGGTGAAAAACCAAAGGTGTCCATTGAGGAGGGGCTTGGCAATCAAGATCTGCCACAGTGGTGGAAAGACCTGTGTGTGTGTTTTTTTTAATCTGTATGGGGGGGAGGGAGGAGATGTCCCTCAACGTTTCCCCCACCACATATAGGAATCCTCTGCCGCCCTCCCACTACGCAAGTACTCCCTGTCACCCAGGTCTGTTGGCTGTCATATCTGTGTCTCTTGGACGTTCTCTTTAGAGCTGCTCTTGAACAAGAGAGGTTCATGGATGGAATTAAGCATGGGGTTCTTGGAGCCGCAGGTGAGGGGTCCACCACCACTGTTGTTGTTGTAGTGGGCTTTGAAAGCAGCGTAGTGGTTGAGGTGGTCGTGCTCGATGGCCGGAAGTGCCAAGTGGCTGTCCCCGGGAGCTCCTGCTGCCGCAGGCAGTTCGTCTTCCACGTTGATGATCTCAATGGTACGTGTGGGCCCGTGGTGCTTGTGAAGCTGGTGCTGCTTGCGCAGCTTGTAGAAAACTATGAGCATCACGGCAGCCATGAAGGTGATGGCCACAAAGCAGCCGATGATGATCTTGGTGGTTTTCATGACGTCGTCCAGGTCTTTCATGCCACTCTCTGTTACGTCAGTGATAGGGATGGTGAACGGCTTCTCGGTGCTACGGGTGCTGCGTGGGGTCAGTGAGGTGGTGGAATAAGTCATACCCCAGCCCTGTGATGGTGTTGGCCCAGGTTCCTTCTTTGTGGGAACAGATTCTTCTTGACCTGGGTCCATGGTCTCCACAGTCACTGTAGTGAAATAGGTGTAACCTGTGGTGGCCGGATCCACGGCTGAGACGTTGAGTGTGGCCGAAGCGGTGGTATTGCCAGCTGAATTGGTCACCATACAAGTATACTGCCCTGTGTCCTGGACGGTCACATTGGTAAAGTTAAGTGTGCCATCATGGAGGACAGAGATGCGGACCCGATAGGAACCATGAGTCATCAGCGTCCCATTGGGTGTCAGCCAATTGACTGACGTCATGGAGGTCCCTGTCCGGCACTTCAGCTCAGCAGCCATCCCTTCAGTAACATTAAGGTCAGTGGGAGGCTCCACTATAACTGGGGCATAGCAGGTGAAATGGCTTTGATCCAGCTCTCCAATATATCGCCCTTTGAGATTTGGTGGGGCATGGCACCGGGCGCAGCAGGTCGTGTTGTTGGGCACCGTCTCCTTGAGCCACCAGCTGAGCCACAACACATCACAGTTGCAATGCCAAGGGTTGTGGTTGAGATGGACACGCTCCAGGCGGTGCAAAGGAGTGAAAAGATCATGTGGCAAGGACATCAAGTTATTATGGGAGAGGTTAAGTTCCTCCAAGGACTTGAGGTCATCAAAGGCATTGCGTTCAATAGTGGCCACCTGGGCGTGCATCAACCACAGTTTGCGAAGGCTGGTCAGCCCTTGGAAAGAGCCTGGCCGGATCATTTCCAGGCGATTCCCAGATAACTCCAGTTCCTCCAGCCGCACTAAGGCCGTCAAGTTTGGGATGTCCTTGAGGTTGCACATGCCCAGGTTCAGGTAGCGCAGGTTGACCAAGCCTTCAAAAGCTGCCTCTGAGATGTACTCCAGCTTCTTGAGCTCTCCGAGGTCCAGTCGGCGCAAGGAAGGAACTCGGTTGAAGGCATAAGAAGGAATGCTTTCAATGGGGTTGTTCCTCAGCCATAGCTCCCTCAACTTGGAGAGGTACTCAAAGGCCTGTGTGGGGACAGTGGTCAACCTATTATCAAAGAGCTCCAGAGTGTTGAGGTTGGGCAAGCCATTGAAGGCCCCAACCTCAATCTTACGGATGAGGTTCTTGCTGAGTTGCAAAATCTCAAGATGTCGAAGGTGCTTGAAAGTGTCAGTCTTTATGACCTGGATGTTGTTCTCCTGCAGATTGAGGTACCGTGTGTTGATCGAAATGCTCTCAGGCACCTCCACCAGCTCTCGGCGTGTACAGATGACCCGGCTGGCTTGGTTGCTGCAGGAACAAGCAGCTGGGCAGGACGTGGGAGAAGTTCCACCCCAAACAAGTGATGGCACCCAGAGGAAGAAGAGGACAAGATGCTTCCAAACCATTCTAGAGACTGCGGGTGCCAGCACAGGCTTCCGAGTGCAGCGGCGGGTAGCCATCTCCAATGGGCATGCTTCAGTGAACAGCAGAGTGAGTGCTCAGGTCTTCAGAAACTGGAAACAAGAAACAAAGAGACAGAGATATAAGCCAGAATCTTGACACTAGATACCCTATATCTGGGTAGACTAAGCTTCAGACGGCTGGGGACTGTTTTCCAGTCCCAAGTCCACTCCTGAGGAGTTACATTGGCCCCTTTCAGATAAAATGGGAGGTGAATGGAAGATTACATCCAATTTCAAAACAAAATTAAAAGCACATCCAGCTTAAGAAAAAAAAGGTAATGGGGTTGGTTATTGCTTTTGTTTTTTTTGTGGTAGTATTTTCAAACATGAGAGGGCAGCGCCTGGCATCGGATTTAATGTGTGGAGGGTGTCACACTTCTATCTTGTATACCAATGTCAAAGCTTCCTTTGTCTTATCATTTGATTTTTTTACACTATGTTCTCTTTAACTCACCAGAGAAATAAATGTGTTTTTCTTTAATAATCTTCACTTACGTCCTCTCTTCCTCTTTTGCTTCCACCAACCCATAACTGTTGTTGCCTCCTTACTCAGACCCATAATCACCCTCCACATAGCCAACTCAGCACCACTCAGCTTGAATAAGACTAATAAGGTTTCATTAAAATAGCAGGGCTAAAAGAACATTTATTCTTAGGCTTTAAATTCATTCACTAAACCACTGGTTCTTAACCTTGGGTTACTCAGGAGTTTTGGACTGCAACTCCCAGAAGCCTTCACCACCAGCTATCCTGACTGGGGATTCTGGGAGTTGCAGTTCAAAAGCATCCGAGTAAAAAAGGTTAAGAACCACTGCACTAAACCCCTTCACTCTCTCTATTACCTCTCCTCCCCCACCCTCTGCCATCTCCCTCAGACTCCAGACTCCAAAACCACCCTTTCTCCAAACTCTCTAAACCACTGGCTCACAAACATACTTCCTCCCCTTATCTAGTTTCTCTCCCAGCCGATCAGAACCATTCTTACCAATGTACCATGCTTGTCATTCACCCCTCCCATTGCATTCTTGCCAAATCAATGTATTTTGAACAACACGTGTGCCATCACAAAACAGGGGGGGGGGGGAAACGACCCTCAATCCAAGTTGCTAAAAATAGCCACACTGAGGGAGGCCAAAAAGGTGTCAACAAGTTATTAGGCCTTATCAGTGGTGGCCCCAAATTTGTAGAATAAACTACCAATTGAGATACACCTGTCTCCTTTCCTACCAGCATTCATGAAATCAGTGAAGACAGAACTATACAAAGCAGCCTTCAGTAACTTCTCCACCAGATGCTGTTAATATTAATTTTAATTCTTTTTCTTGTGCTTAAAAAAATAGAGCGTGGAGCCACCATATTCATGCATTGTTATTGGGGTTATGTGCAGTTCTGAGTTTTTAATTTGTAAACTGCCCAAGTAGTACTGTATCTCCACTTAGAGGGGCAGCATATAAATTAGTCAGTCAGTCAGTCAGTCAGTCAGTCAGTCAGTCAAATAATTAAGTAAGTAAGTACGTAAGCAAGCAAGCAAGTAAGCAAGCAAGCAAGCAAGCAAGTAAGTAGGTTTAGCTATGACCAGGGATCAGAGGGCGTGCACTGGACTTTAGACTGAACTTACAGGAGCTATCCAATGTACTCAGCCTGTTCCCAAAATGAGTAAAACATATTGGACATTTCCTTTAAAGTCCAGACTAAAACCTCTTGCAAAATCGGAGTCACCAGCTGCTCTTGACCCTATAGCTTTTTTCACAGAGTGATACTCACATCTCTGAATTTTCCATCCCACCTCCCGTTTTCACCTCCAAGTGACAAGAACAGATTTGGGCCACCTGAGTCCACCTCTGGCCTACATGGACCACATAGTTCTGGGACTCCTTCTCTAGCCGGTGGCAGTGTGATCATTTTGGAGTGAAGACACTCTTCATTACAGTCCCTGAAGCCATGTCTCTCAAACAAGAATCCCAGCATGCAAACAACTGTATTGATCCATATTGACAAGCCACTTCTAGCTGTTTTCATCTTTACCAGAAACAGGTCTCTTACAACACTAATGGGTCTCAATTGTCCATTCAAGAACAAGCCCTTCTTACTAAAAAGTGGGACGGCTTCCAACAAGAGACTGTTTTGGGTAAAATCTGTCTCCGGCTGCCACACCTCCAATGCCCCTGAGGATGAGAAATAAACAACAGAGGGAACAGGGAAGTCTGAGCAAAGCGAGAGACACCATCATTGTCACAGCTAATCAAAAAGTACTAGCACTGCAGCCTGCAAAACCTGGCTCTCCTACAAGCCTGTTCCCAGGGAAATATCATTCCACCCCTTTATTACTAGTTTTCCAAAAACAGGCAAAACCTTTGTTTTGCTCCTGGGGCCACTGGGAACATCAGAGAATGAGGACCAATTAACTTCCATTTTAGAATGTTATTGTGCCTCCATTCCAAGAAGGTGCCATATGAACTGCATCCCAGGTCTCACATGCCTAACATTTTAGATTGTATTTCACATTTCAAAGAATTTTTTTTTAGTGAACAAACAGTAAAAGCTGGAATAAATTTGATCTGGACTCTTGCAGAAACAAAAACTACTCACCGGTTAGACACTATAACAGAGCTTGACATGGCAAGAAGCAGCCAGAAAGCTTGGAGACTACTGAAAAGACTGAACAATGATCCAAACAAAAGGACACTGTCTGCAAACTTTAACTCTCAACTAAGTAGCATACCAGATGCTCCTGGCAACGAAGATCACACAATACATATTAAAATAAAACATCAAAGGGATATTTAGAATGAATCTGATGAACATTCCACTGCCTTCATATAGGCAGAACCAGAGAAAGCCATAAGAAGATGTAGGAATGACAACATGATAGGACTCAATATCTGGATGATACTAATTAGACATGTTGGGCAAAACACAAAGGGATGGCTCCTTCAACTCTTTTACAACTGCTGGATGAGAAAATAAATTCCAAAAAATATGGCAGAAAACAAAAGTAATCACTATACTGAAACCAGGCAAAGAATCATCAGACACCAAAAGCTAGTGGCGTATCTCCTTACTATGCCACTTATACAAAGTGTTTGGATGAATGATATTTGGTCATCCAGCCCCTAAAATTGAATCTCTTCTAATTCCAGAACAGGAAGGATTTAGACCTCATAAGAGTTAAACAGCACAAATCTGAAACCTAACCCAGCATATAGAGAATGGTTTCGAAAAGCAAAAAATAATGGGAGCAGCATTTGTCAACCTTTCAGCAACATATGATACTGTGGTTGTTGTGGGTTTTTCGGGCTCTTTGGCCATGTTCAGAACACGGCCAAAGAGCCCGAAAAACCCACAACCATTAGATCCCGCTGTGAAAGCCTTTGTGAATACAGATGATACTGTCCTCCATCAGCTGCTGCTCAAAAAGCTCTATCTTCTTACTAAAGATTGTGGACTAACAGAGATGGTCACTATTCTACTTCAAAACCAAAGATACTTTGTTGAATTTCAAGGGAGGCACAGTCACTGGAGAAATCACAGGAATGGCTTATCACAGGGTAGTGTCCTGGCACCATTACTTTTTAAAGATTTACACAAATGATCAACCAACATTCCTATACTCCAGGAGCTTCATCTATGCTAATGATCATGCATTGACAGTCCATGGGGAAACCTTTGAGACTGTCAAACACCAGCTAACCTCTGCAGTAGATGATCTTACCATTAAAAACATAAAAACAACCAGCTGAAGCCAAACACAAGTTTGTGCCTTTCACTTAACAGAGAAGCAGAGAGGAAGCTCTGAGTTAGCTGGGAAGTGAATATTTTGGCAACACTGCCCTATCCCAAAGTATTTGGGCATTACTCTACATGAATGATGGCAAACCTATGTCACTCGTGCCACAGCTGGCATGCAAGCCATAAGTTGCTGGTTCGCTACCCCCAGCAACCAAACTTGAGAAGGTGGCTGCAGCCATGTCCTAGCACCTTGACAGGCAGCGGGCCAGGATACAGAGGGGCTGGTGCTGGCAGGGGGTGGGCACGATTAGAAGTGGATCTAGAGTGGGGTCTGGAGGCACCTCCATGCCCTGGATTCCCCTTTCCACTGTCACTTCTGCTTCCGCTGCTTCTGCTTCCTCCGTCACCTGCCAGCTACAGTATTCCCCCCCCTCCCAAGTTTGGGAATTCGGGCTCAAAAAGGTTAGCCATCACTGCTCTAGATTGAACCCTGACCTACAAAAAACACTTCCTAAACAGTGAACAGAAAGTTGCCGCCATAGAGAACATACTTAGAAACTGACTGGGTCAGATTTGGGAGTCCACGCACAAACAATGACACATTTATCCCTATGCTACTCCACAGCAGAGTATGCTACTGCCGTATGGTATAAATCAGCACATGCTACACAAGTGGAGGTAGCTCTTAATGAATCATGCAGGATTATTACTGGCTGCCTGAAACCTTCCCCTACTGAAAAATTATATAATTTGTCTGCCATTGCCCATCTAGAAGTATGTTGAGAGGTGTTAGCAAATAATGAACAAGATAAGGTAATACAGCACCAAATCCATCCACTTCATGAACACTAGTGTCCTAGATGATAGCTAAAGGCAAAGAAAAGTTTTGTGCACACATCTCAGGTTCTAAATATTAAACCAGAAGAGGTTGACTAAACCTACGGAGAGCAAAAACAACACACCTTGCCGACTAGATGAATGCCAAACAGTGCCTACCACCAGGACAATATTTTGGCTTGACCATCCGGAAGTCACTTAATAGACTTTGAAAGAAAGTAGAAAGATCAAAGAATAATCAGGTAAAATGGGGCTACTTGGATACAG